TCTCTCTCTCTCTCTCTCTCTCTCTCACACACACACACACACACACACACACACACACACACACACACACACACACACACACACACACACAGAAGCCGAGGTCGAGACGCGCCGCTGACGATGGCAACCATCGTCATACCTCCGTCAGCCCACGTGCGGACGACCACCGCCATGGAATCCGCACTACCAGTCGCTGGCGAACCGACACACGCAACCTCAGAGGGAGAAAAATAAATAAATAAATAAAAATGCAATACTGGCCTCGCATCATTGCACCAACCACAGGGACCCCGCCCTAACGTCTGTCCGTTCGTCGGTCCAGGCCGGAGGCCGTAAGACCACGAGTGGAAACGTTACCGGTTCAAAAAAAATAATTGAAAACCCACCGTCGAAAGGTACCACGGGACACAGCCTCGGCAAAATCGGCGCGCACTATAATTCAGGGTCGGCAAAAACAGGCTCAGAGGTACTAGTGGTTTAAGCAAAAAAAGGAAAAAACAAAGCGAGAGGGGAAGGGTCATGGGGCAAGGTGCCTCTTGCACGGATAAAGAGATACTTGCCGTTGATAAGCAAGATCAACAGCCGTTTTCTGTCTCTCTTCTTCTTCTTCTTCTTCTTCTTCTTTATTTTTTAAACCACCAGTACTTGACTTCCGCTGACTTCCGCTAGAACATGGAAAGATACTTCGCCATATATGTTGTCGTTTGGGCATGTGGTGAGTAGTTGAGCGAGGCCCCATGACTCAAAGCATCATCAATATAGGACCTCCGCAGATTGTCGAGGGTTCAGCCTCCTGATGAGTCCATGCAAATCGAGGAAACAACGGTTTTTTTTGTTGTTGTTGTTGAAAAAAACGGACTCCACCTAGTACTACAGGGGGTGGTACGAGCAGTCACCCCTATTAACGTCATTGGTTGTTCCATTCCATTGATGGGGAGCAGCACCTTCTGGAAAACGTGTCCGGCATCACAGTACACAATGCAGAGGAAAGATAGTGGGATTGGGCGACCCACCAGCATCTTTTTTTTTTTAAACAACGGCGGACGTGGCATGTTTTGAGTTCCTAAAGGCATGAAAAACAGGCCTTCGGCGACTGTGTCAGGGCCTGAGTTAGAAAAGGCGTTCGTAACTCAGGTCGGCGGTGGTGTCAGGGCGGAGGTTTCATTAAGGCGGTTGTGTTTTT